GGTTATTCCCCTTGATGAAAGTGATGCGATCAACTGAGTGCCTTTTACTAAATAGGAGTTTTTACATATAACAACGTTCTGTTAAAATTAATGATGCCAATCATAAGTGATCCTAAAGAATATAGTAAATACTTAGCATAAGTGCTTTTAAAATTAAATTGTTTCCTAATCTTATTAAGCACTCATTAATTTAAAGTGTAATAGGCATAACTTAATGATACCTTTGGTATATTTATATTATTTTTAATTGACCTCTTGTTGTTTTAACCCTTCGATGCTTATAATGCTTCCACATGAAAGTTAGCTGCCAAAGTTGAGTCTGTCGGAGCAGTGTGTGCATTGGGTTAGGTGTTGCAATTTATTCAATGCGCTATCGAAATTAGCTTCTTATGAGTTTCCTTGGTGGCTATCGCGATGGTAGGGATAGAAATGGGGACCTATTTAGCGGCAGTCTGTATCTTTAGCTTTGGTGCTTGATGTGCTTGTAGCTTGTATGGATTTCACTGTTTTGTAGATCGCAATAGCGCTTTAGATTTCTTTTGGTAAATCCTGTTGCCTTCATTGTGGGTGTTTTGTGTCATCACTTATTTGTTGTTATAGTTCTTTGATTATAGAGGTCGAAGTTTGGGTCATGGCTTTGGTTGATTATTCATCAAGTGAAGACGAAGCTGGTTGTGGGAATGAGCACGATTTTATATTGCCCCCATTTGTCTACGACGCCAAAAGTGATGTGGTGCGTTTTGCTGAAATCGGTAGGACATCTTGTTCTGATGGCCGGGTACGAAGTTTTGCTCATAGACACGGCAATTGGGCTACTTGTGTGTTCTTACCAGGTAGGATGAATTTTAATTCAACTCGGCTATTTGTAGGTATGATAGTTATTTTGCTGTGATGCAGTGGTTTTTGGTCTATTTGGTGCCGTGTAGGGCATTTATGCATAGTGAATTCTATGGTATGGTCTAATTTTATGCAGTCGTTACTCTTTCTGCATAATTTTTGATGATTAAACTTCTCGATTGTACTTGATTTTGCATTACCCGACCTTTGGAGAACAGCTGTTCACCACCAGTTCTCATGTGGCGTTTCATGTTTTTTATTCATTTTAGCTGATATATTTACTGAGTGATGTCTTATTGGATGCATTCATCCATTCGAATTCTCATTTCTCGTTAGAACTGTGCGTTCTTAAAATGCACTTGTATATGGCATTAGTACCATTGCATGCTCTTTGTGAAAGTGCGTAGATAGTGTTTGTTGAGGTGACGTTAAGGGATTTTAACCCTGAAGTATGGTCATTCCTCTTATCCATTTTCTTCCTAAGCTGCTCATTTTCGCATAAATTTTTTTCGGTTTTAAATGGAGTGTTATCCCTTTTTACTCGACTGCAGAAGTTTAAGCTCGGTTAATCATTGCTAAATACCTTAACACTGAAGTATCTCTTCAGTGCTTTTTCATCATATTCAGCCAGTGTACCGCTTGGACTGTTCTTCAATGCTCTTCTAAACAACGTCAGCACTATTCTTTCTCAGTGCGAACAGCGATTTTATACCTGTGAAGATTTTCATTTGAGTCTGACAAAAATTTGGCCTATTCTCCATCACTGGATTGCTAGTTTTACTGAAGCCGTTCGTGGAATAGCTACGAAATACCAAAGGTTTGACTCAGTCACTTCATTTTTTTCATTAGGTTCCACATCACCCTTGGTGAGGCCGGCTTCCTCGTTAACGAGGATAAAACTCGGTAGGGTTGCAATTGGGCGTAACACCTAAGCTCCTTTCTGGTTATTAGTGTAAAGGAGTCTACCTTCTTAAACAGTATTGTAAGTGACCTCGACCGCGTAGTTGCTTCATATCGAGGAGAACCGTATTACAAAGTAAATTTATTAGTTATGATAACGGTACTTACTAGTAGGACCGAATTTTTCATTTCAGTCTTTCATGGTGTCTTGGAGATGTGGGAGGTATCTTGTCTCCAGCTTGGAAAAAAACGTGTTTGGTAAGAACCTGACTCCATTTATAGGCTATATTTTACAAGTGCTAAAATCGAAGACTGATTTAACTGTGGCTTTCTTTACCTACTTTGCCTCAATTTTATTAAAATAAATCCAAGCGTTAAAGTATATTTCCGAATCATCACATTGACTTATGAACTCTATTTTTATCTACTCATGAATCCTGCTCATTGATCTACACCATATCTATCGAGAAGTTCTTCGGAGCTTTGAAATTCTTGCCATCTTGACGTTCAGGAAAGTGTTCAGCACTTCTCGCGCTTTATCTTGTAGTTGGAATTCCGGTGGAATAGCTTTGTAGAATGTTGACCACATTTGTACACTGTGTTGCGTAGCTTTCATTCGTGTTAGCTTTGACCCAACAAAATTTCTCCAGCTTTTAAATAGATCATTAGGGATGTTTAGTTGCACTTTCACCCATATTCGATGCTCACCAAATTTCTTTGGCCCATTTGCAAACAGTTTGAGGTTGTTATTAAGGAGGCGAATGCCATTTCGCTATCAATACAGCTCGCGTCTTTCTTATTTCAGACTTCAATTGACCACTTCATTTCTTCACGAGCGCCTTTGGAGGGTTTTGAATTGGAGAGCTTAGTCTTGAAAATTGGAAGTGATAAATACCAGCTTCCGCTTTTGTAAATTATCCTAAGGGGATCTGTTGTATTTTTTCACTCCTACGATGAATCAAATGGTATTGTTTTTTAGCTAGTTTAAATAGTTAAAAGTTGAAGTAGAAATGCGATTGTATGGATAAGACGGTTCTCGCTGCGGGACAAACGAGACTCAAATACGTCAGCTTAATCTCCTTGGTAGTAAAGAGTTGGATCGGTAGACTTGCACTATGAGCATTTTGCCCCCTTTAGTTGTGTTAGAAGACTGTAGTGACCTTCTCAACTTCATCATTAGTAGCGCTTGCCAATGCTGAAGCTTTCGTAGGAAATGTGGTCTAGAGTGTGAGGTACATTGTTTGGTGAAGATCACCACTTGAAACTTGCTGGAAATAAGAGTTTGTCTGCGTTGCTCTATGTCGCTCCAAAATCCACCGCCTCCCAACTGCGCGAGTTGTCCATTACTACGGTTTGGATTGATATCAATATCCACGCAGACATTAAGTACATCAACTTTAATGCAGTGCTATGAGGCCGTTCATTGCTTCGGTTTGCTAAGGTAATGACATTAGTAATCATACGAATCGTTTTTTTGCGGAAATGTCATCAGCCAGCATCGGAACAATTACCAATGAGAGCGGTGAAATTCACCTCAAATGATCGTGACCAGTCTTCAAAAATCGCGCTACCGCTGTGGAGAATTGGGCTGCGCTTTGAGCATAATTGCATTCCAAGCTTTGTGGTATGCTCGCATGAATGACAAGCATCATGAAATTACAACCGATTGAAGTTATCTAACGCCTTCACGAGATATGTGCAATCCTTGTATTAATGTGAAATGACCACATAAAGGTAGTATCAAGGCGTGGT